CGTCGTATTCGACGGTAAATTTCGCCAAAAAAAATGTTATAATAGCTCGGTCGGTTATCGGCCGGCCTCGACACAGAAGGCCGTGGTTCGAATCACGATCATTTACACACTTATTTTTTACTTTTTTTTTCGATTCCAGATCATTGCTTTCTTTATTTTTTATTTTTTGTTGATCCAGATGATTTTGTTATTTTTTCCTCGTTTTTTTTAAAGTTCTTTCTTTTGTGATAAACACCAGTTCAAACTTTTTTATTATATAGTCGGTAAGATCGAAAAATATTATGCATATTTCATTACTCAGTAATTTGTATCTAAACGTAATCCAAAATACATAATTTACCACAAAAAAAAACCGAGCAAAACTCGGTCCTCCAGGTACTATTCATTTATAACATCATCAGCTAGCAAATATTAATAAAGTTTTCTTTAGCTTTTTATCTGTTTATACAACACTACCTGATACGAATATATAATATACTCTGCAGATTGGAACTGAATGTCATCGTCTCAATAAACTACACTCGAGAGAAGCATATGTAATTGCTTGTCAGCCTTATCCTTCATAAAGTAATCCCGACTAAGGAGTCGGGATTACTTTATGAAGGATCTGCATGTAACTAAAATTAAAATGTAACTAAGCATTATTAATTAGCTTTCATAAAAAAATAATAAATCTACAAATGAAATTAACCAAGTGATTTAATTTATCTAAATACTGTCGACAGCGGCCCTTACCATCAATGGTCAACAAGTTTTCGGATGCGACGAATATAAATATTTGTGCACCATGTTGCACAGTTCGGGGGAAGTTCACGTAAACATTCCGCACCGAATTCAAGCAGCCTGGCTTAAATAGAGGGACGTAACTGGCGTAACCTGTGACCCAAAAATGCCTATCAAGCTCATGGGGCTAGTATATAAGACTATGATCAGGCCAGTTCTTACATATGAAAGCGAAACGATACAAGTAGCAGAGGTAAAGAGCTAAAGCTACGGTGGATGAGCAGAGTGACGAGACTCGACAAGATACGCAACGAGTAGGTGCGAAGAAGTCTCGGAGTCCGTGACATCGCCGACAAGCTCCAGGAAAGCAGGCTACGATGGTATGGACATGTGCAACGTCGACCTTCTGATTACATTGGGAAAGGAACGTACCATCTAGACATCTGAGGTTCCCGGAGACTAGGAAGACCAAAAATAACATGGACAGAGGTACTGAGAAAAGACCTTAACGCCTGCCCATGACGATGCGACGGGTAGAGCAAAGTGGAAGCAAAAGACAAGAAAGGCAGACCCCACTACCGTGTGGGAATAAGATATGCACGGAAGATAGAGAGAGATTTAATTTGCTAATTTATAACAAGTAAGAACTCGACTTGTCAATAAAAGTCAAGAAGCATTAGAATAATTCAATTGTTATATATTGAGAAGTAAGGAGTTGATTAGTATTTTATTAAAATTATTAGTAAATCTATATAAATATATTAGAATCTACTCCTTTAAAGGATAAGATTAATTCTTATATATATATATATATATATATATATATATATATATATAATCGGAATCTCGGAAACGGCACCAGCGATTTTCATGAAATTTAGTATGTGCGTAGATTCGGGGGCGAAAAATCGATCTAGCTAGGTTTCATTTTTAGAAAATGTCCTTTTATCCCTGTTTTCAGGGTTTGTTATAATAAATGTGTTATAATAGCTAATAGCGGTCGGTAATCGGGCGGCCCCAAAACAGACGGCCGTGGTTCATATCACGATCATTTACACACTTATTTCTTTACTTTTTTTCGATTCCAGATCATTGCTTTCTTTATTTTTAATTTTTTGTCGATTTGTTATTTTTTTATTTTTTTCTCTTTTTTTTTTTAAGTCAGAAAAACATCAGTTCATATTTTCTTATTATTACGTCGGTAAGATCGAAACATATTATGCATATTTCATTACTTAGTAATTTGTATCTAAATGTAATTTCCAAAATACACGATTTACCATTTCCTCCGGGTACTCTTTTTAGTTAGCTATAACAGAAAATCGTACGACGTGAAGAAAATCTATGTTATGTGATGACTGATTAAATTTAACATAAATAATTGCGAATTATGATAAGAAACATGGTCCCAAATACCGCCAAGCAGAGGTGGATAAAGTAAATACCGCCACCCATGGACATCTACTACACCAGAGGGTTGCAGATACGTTGACAACCTTTTGAAAATACGGCTCCGGCTACCTCACTCACCAGACAAAACGCGAATGTATTATACTTCCACTTTACGCCGGTCTTCTGTGAGGTCGTGAACCCGGTCATTTGCTGCCCATTCGTGCAAAAGCCGAGGCTGCTGCGTGGCCCTACCACCGTAAATCAGTGTCTTAAAGACAAGAGTGATAAGGCTTCTATTCAGCTAGTGAGGTTACTAAGCAGTGCTTTGTATAAAAAAAGAAAGCATAAAATCTTGTCTAACTTAAATTGTAAATATTGTTGTGAAATGAATTCATTCTTTTATTAGCCATTTTATTAACTGGAAAAATACTCCCTACTAGTATCCTTCAGATACTAGTATTAATTTACAACCGAAGGCTTCTTCCCATCCGAGTGGAAGGAAGCCGATGTCATAGGGTTCCTCAAACCCTCTAAACCCGCCACTCTCCCAACCTCATATCGTCCAATAAGTCTTCTCAAAACATTTGGGAAGATCTTTGAAAGACTAATTTTAGCCCGCTTAAGATCCCTTATGGACACCAAAGGGCTCCCCATCCTAGAGCAGTTTGGATTTAGAGCCAAACACTCATGTACCCATCAAGTGCACCGCATCACGGAGCACATTCTAACTAGACGTCAACGTGGACTCAACACCGGTGCGCTCTTCCTGGACGTGGCAAAAGCGTTCGACAAAGTCTGGCACAACGGGCTCGTATACAAGCTATACGGGTACGGAGTGTCCGACCGTCTCGTATGCATAATACGAGACTTCCTAAGTGATCGAACCTTTCGCTATCGCGTCGAGGGCGTGTGTTTGACTACGCATCCCGTTCTAGCCGGGGTGCCCTAGGGGTCGGTGTTGGGACCAGTCTTGTTCACTCTCTACACTACACCAATGACATGCCGCGTGTCAAAGATGTAGAACTTGCTCTTTTTGCCGACGACACCTGTATTTATACCACAGGCAGAACACCCGAATTGATCCATCGACGCCTCCAAGCTGCGGCCATCACCATCGGTGACTGGTTTCGGCAATGGAGGATCGAAATCAATCCCGCCAAAAGCGCGGCAGTCCTTTTCGCGCACAAAAGAACATACCCATTCCTCCCCCCGTTAAACTCTTGGACAGCCCAGTACCATGGGTTAATAAAGTCAAATATCTAGGCGTCGACCTCGACTCCCAGCTTAAATTCACCCAGCACGTGACCCAGGTCAGGAACCGGGCGGCCTTCGTACTCGGTCGCCTCTACCCGCTCCTCAATAAAACGTCAAAAATGTCCCTTCGGAACAAGGTGACCTTTATATAAGGCAGTAGTTCGCCCTATCATGACGTACGCGAGTCCCGTCTTCGCTCACATTGCTCCGAAGCAAATACACCGGCTTCAGGTGATTCAAAATCGATTCTTGCGCAGAGCCACGGGAGCACCCTGGTTCATGCGCAATATCGACCTACATGTCGACCTAGAATTGCCCACCATCGCGCAATTCCTGAAGTCGGCGTCGCCCCGATATTTCGATTCCGCCGCCGCGCATCCCAACCCACTTATCGTAGGTGCCGTCACCTACAGGCCCTTGCCGCTAAACATTTTCCGCCGCGATTACCGAAGACCGCGTCACGTTCTCGACTTCCCTGACGATGAGACGACTATCGCCATCGAAAGGATCAAAAAACTCAAGAAACACACCAACACACACCGCACTCGCCGGCGAGTGTGGCAAACATATACTAGGTTCCGCCACGTACCTGGCAGGTTTTCCCCTATCAATGATAGAAGCGTTGCTGGAGTTTCTTCCGCCACTTCTTCTCCCAGCGCCAACGCTCTCCGAAGTGGTAGTAATGTTAGCTCTAGGAATTCCCCCAGTCAGATAATAGCTACCGATCGAGCCGAGGTCCGGCCCTCTCGGGCACCCTCGAATCGGAATGCTAAACGCGTGCTGAGTGACAGCCCAAGCCGAGGTCCCCTCTCGGGGACCCTTGAGCCTTATCGAGATATTTGGCTAGGATATATTAATTATTTACGTATCGATCTTTACAACTTGTGTCTACACAAGTTGTTGTAATTGCAAGTTTCATAGCGCGAAACGGTTTTGGCACTTATAGGATAATATGAGTAGATATATTTACAGAAAACAGTTTAAATGATCCATTCCATATTCTTTAAAAAAAATATTTTGCTATTTAAAAAAAACAGTTTGAATTTTTTTTTGTATGAGTTTTTTACGAGGTGGCCACGATAACTAACGAAAAAGTGTACGTATCGAAACCGGGTTTTGTTTATTATCTTCAGAATAACATCAACTAGTTATTTATTTAATATCAATTGCTTTCTATTCGTAGTTAATTAATAAAATGCTTTTTTATATTTCGTTAAGTTGTCTAAATGTACTTCTTTTTTTAATTAAATGAGTGGAATTTTTAATTATAAAGCGTGCACTTTTGTATTTTCCAAAGTTTGTTTTCATTTATGTGTCTCTCAAACTTGAACTAAAATTGTTAAAAGTTACGAAAATTAAATTAATTAAATAAGGCATTTTAAAATTCGTATTAGTTACAATTTATTTGACTGTTAGTACCGAGCACAAGCGCATGTGCGTCAAAACGACGATTTTGTGAATAAGACCGCTAACGGCGTAGCGCTCAGGCAGTCTTCGTTCCCCGTTGTTGGGGTCTACACGTAGCACTTCGCTACGCAGCTACGCGTAGAGCAGGTTAACTGTATATTTTCGTTAAAAAATACGTTGTTGTGTTGTCGGTGAACTTTAAGAAGGATTGAAATGTGAAATAAATGATGTTGCTCCGAAAACTCTTGTTCTATTTGCATTTCGGACTAGTCTTTCACGCTGTTATTTGCTTAAAGGATACTGTTGGCGAGTATACGATTGTTTAGTATTAACCGCTTTGATTTTCTTTTGGTCAACCTTTCGATTTCTTTATAAGATTGAATAAAAATCTTCGTGTTATAATTATTTCTTGTTTTGGTAATAAAAAAGGAGTTTCCTATCCTTTTTATTTAATATCATGAAATTATTTTATAACTTATTTACTTATATTTTATTAAAATTATTTAAGAACCATTGATGCTACTTTACTCCAAATAAAAATAATAAGCTTTTAGTAAAGATAAAATTTGAATTGATTCTACAGGCATTTATTTAAAACTGCGTAGGCAAGGAGAGAACAAAGAGGTCTACAAAAATTAATGAATACGACAATACCATAGAATGAAATTGATATCACTCGCTTTACTTTGTTTTAAATTTCTAACGAATTAAGAAATAAGAAAATTGAAACTGTATTTATTTGTATTTTTAGTACTGAATTGTATTTATATTTCGAACATGAAAATTAAATAACAAGATATTTCCTGTTTTGTTAACGGATCGTCGGCGTTCTAAAGATTTTCCTTATATACGAGGACAAAGCGGGATGAAATGAAATTTCATTATCGTTTAATTCATAGCATGTAAACGTAATCACCCAGATCCGTAACAATTATGTGTGTAAAACAAATACTTGTCCCTTGTGGAATACGAGCCTACGACCCTCAGCGCTGGATCCAATAGTTTACTAACTGCGCCACCGAAATGTGTACAGAAATGCAAAAAGGGGAATGAGGTAATTAAAAACGCCAGCAGTCAATAAATAATTTAAGTGCACAAAAATTGGCTGAGATCGTCTCAGTTAATTTTTTTCTTAAATGTAGTGCACTTGTAATTAATTAATTTAAGTTACAGGCCTGACTCGTTTCTAGTAACGAGACTTCACCATTCCTCTACTCGATTGAAATTTCAAATTAAGATATAACAGTTTATAGAGTATATAGGTTATACCACAAATAAGGGTCTAAGTTTTTGGAAGAAAAAAATGAAATCGTTCCAGTAGCTTTTCCTTGATGCGAGTAACGGCTGACCTCTATCATTTTTATATAGATAATAAGTTAAGTGAATGAAATTCAAAATAACAACATTCCTATTCCATTTATTTCTACGTCGAGATGTATTATTCTATTACAAATAGAGTTAAAAGCTTATCTCAGTAGACAAGGCACGCATAATAACTTGCGCGGACCTATCCTATGTGGAGGGTCGTATCTAGATAGCTTGTGGAATCTGGTTTACCACGATATCTGTGATCGATGAAGCTTTTATAGTCTACGGACTGAAAGCGAGAACATCATGCAATAAAGATAATGGTAATCTGCGTTAAATTGTTTTAATATTTAAATATAAGTGTGGCATAGTGGTATTGTGAGGTTAGTTGGATAACTTAAGACTAAAATTCAGATATTAAATGGACATGACGTCATTTTAAAACTTGTTTAGTTTAACCAGAACGAATTAAAATTCAAGTGATATAAAATCAACCAAACAGTGTATATATCGAAATACACTTGAATTTGTACCGAGAATAATTATTGAGATGAAGGACAGACATGCAGGTGCATCAAAGTGGCAGGCACAATGGGAGCTTATACGTCTAGCGAATATGAGACAATGATTTTCTTTCATTCACATTTCACTTTAAAATCATTCCACCTCGTAATCAGTCGCCAAATGGTAGTATAATAATTTATCAATGAAAGGTAAAAGGTTTAATAAATATCTCTCTTCCTTTCTCTTTTTACTAAATATTAATTATAATATTTGTTATTGTACTTTAAATAGTGTAAAAACGTTTTACACACATAAATTTCGATTGGACAAACACTCGGATTATCATAAAGAATTATGCGTGGGACACAAAAATAGATGTCCTGTGTGAGAATCGAACCCACGACCCCCAGCACCGAAGCCAATACCGTTGGCACCTGCACCGCGGTATCATCTCTTTAATATGTAAGGTTATTTTGAAGAAAAACTTTTTTCTTTCTTGCTACCTCTCCCTTAAATAAATTGTCCATAGATAGTATTATAATGTATTCATTATATTGATTTTAGGCGAAAGCTTTTTAATACATTTACTGTATTCTAATTGTCTAATTTTTGCCAAACATAAGCTTTTAAATGGTGTTTAAATCATTAAATTTGATGGCGTCCTGACGCCTATATAGCGTCTAATAGCACCTTTGAGAAATAATATATCAAGAGGATTCTTTGTGAAAATAAAATAAAATCAATATCACTCAAGGATACTGAAAAATTAGTAATGGTGAGATAAAAATTTTAATTTAATCGAATGGTTTCGGATTTTCACTTGTTTCAAAACATAATTCCCACGAACTATTAATGAACATTCATTAAACTAACATCACACTTGCGTGATATGGAATATATCACACAATAGATAATTGAAAATACTATTTACTCATATGTGATAAAGAGCGTAATTTTATACACATACTATAGAAAACAAACATGATCCAAAAAGTATATTTCGCATACGATATTCAACAATTTCAACTAGTCCATACCTCGATGCCACTTCACCGACCTACTTTTCGACCCAGAGGCATACCATTTAAACGATACATTTGCCGACGGCTCGGCTAATTCTAGATATTTCAACATTTACTTTTAAAGTCGTTAACAACGCGTGTAGTATAGGGTATAATATCACAAAGAGAAAAATATAGGATTTTGTTAGCATCCGACCTGAACAAACTTTGTCAACTGAAAGCAAATGTGAAACTTAGATTGGGACTGAAATGTAATCGATTTATTTTTCTTGAAAAACGTGATTTTAAAATAAAAATACTTAATGGCTTTATATGTGTTTAACTTTATTTTGTAATCGCAATCTTGGCCTTGCCGATTTAGAAACTGAATAAAACTATAATATCTTACTTAGATGACTTATCAGATAGGTACTTTGACTTTTTCAAACCTACAACCAAAAGGAGTAATAAAAATATGTTTCATAATTTTCGACTAAAAAGTGTCATTCGTATGTTTTTGTACAATACATGACTAAGTTACAACCTGCTGTATCTAAAAGCAGTACTGAAACAAGCACATTTGGCGTGAACAATAGAAACAGGCAGGCCCTGTTTTAAAAAACAAAATTATTTTATTAATAAAAATTGTTATAAATTATATTACATTATTTTTAAAATAAATAAATTTATTTTATTAATTCAGTGCTTGCGCAAGAATGCCTAACCTAAAAATAGTGATTTGTACCAGCTTCTAATTGCGATATATAATGGTTAGATCGAGAATCTAGATTTTATAAGAACAATAGACGCTATGAGCTTGAAACATTTAATACTAACAACCAAAATTTTTAACATATATTCTATACCATTTTATTATAAATATCATATCATAACAATATAATTATAATTAGTTAAAACTTAATGAAAATTATCACCAACAAGTGCAGAATTATCAAATAGTCATTTTGTTTTTCAAGGTTTTTGGCCCAGACATAAATTAAAAGTTACCGGAATTCGTTTATCTCCACTTGTTACTTTATAAACGATAAAATTTAGAAACGTGACTTAAAACTTAAGGAGCTGGTGCCTAGTTATTCTAAATTTCGTGATTTAATCGCTTTAGAATATCTTCGAATAATTAATTAAACTAAATATATTGTGTTTACCGTCATTTAACATTGTTGTATTAATTTTTAGGCTTTGCAAGAGAAAAAAACTCTCGCCAAAGCCCATCTTTGTAGTTCAACTCTAAGAGGTCGATATTTTCATTTTAGTTTCCTATTCATTCAGCACAGATTTTTTTAAAATATGTAGAAAATTAAAGTGTGTAGAAAAAGTACGAAAAGATTGTCGCCGCTGCGGGAATCGAACCCACTTCTTCGGCATTCGCGGCCTGACTCCTTAACCGCTAAGCTAAACGGCTGATTGCCACACCGAAGAAAATCTTAACGTCTGATTTTTTGTAAAATTCAAATTGAAATGATACTGTTTTGTATAATTTTTTCGCAAAAACCACTGCGTATTCTGAAACCTGACTGCGCTGTTCAAAACTCTATAATAATGTATGATTAACATTGTCCTGGTAATGAAGAGGCTTTAGATTTAACATATACTTATAGTACCTATATCACACAACAAACCATTAGTTGTGTAAGATATTGCATGTAAATTTGCATGACGTACATTCTCAGCTGCTGAAAAGCACTATCTTGCTTGTTTCTACTCTTTTCTAAAGCAATATTAAAACTTGAAGATAATGGCATCTTAATTATTTTCAAAGTATAAAGTAAAATATTTTATAGAAAATTTAACGCTAATCTATAACAATATTAAACTATTGAACAAAAGGTCTGCAACGTCTGTACACGCTAATTACAATATTTTGTAGTCCTTCACAAAGATACCATCTTTGAAATATTCGGGATGCCAAAAATAAATCAATTCGTTGGAAGCCACATAATTTATTGCGGAAAAAATGTGTTCATTTATTCTCAAAAAAAAATATTGACCGTGCGATTGAGCATTCAATGAGGAAAGAACTTACTTTTAGGCAAAAGGTTGCGTGTCGAGTTACAATTGAAAGAGGCCGCGAGGTGTGAGCCGAGGGGTCGGCGGCAGTCCCGATGCGATACGCAGATATTTATACTGACTTTAACAAAAGTCATTATCTGAAAACATAACTTTGTACTTTAACTTATTTCACGATTTATTTATAGAAGTACTTATTTATGTAAAATATCCAAAGCCTAAGCATAGAGACATTTTTTTTAATCATTCGCTGTGAAATGTTACATAAATTCTTAACACTCACTTTAACACAGATTTGATAAAAATTCAAGGCATGAGCTTAAGCAGTGAAGAAAAAAATAGAAATACATACAGAAGAGCCGAATTCAGAATCTAATTAACCAAATAGATATATAATTGAGAAGAAAGAAAAAGTGCCTTACATATTTCAATTCTCATTAAATTTGACTATAGACAGAGTAAAACTCTAAGAGGTTGAAAGCACTATATGTATGATGTTTTGTGTTACTAGGACCGGGTAAATAGACGAAACGGGCATGTTGAGTAATAATTGAGGTATGTTGTGCAATAACTACGCTAATGAAGAGTAACAGAAGGATAACCTTAATCACACCTATCAATTACATGACACAGTTATTATTCTATAGACTTTATTAATCCAGATAGTGAGTTTGATTTTTATAAGTTATGAGCTTATATTCATGAGCTACAAATAGTTCATCCAAATCTTACTGATTGTTTATGTTTCATACGTGTATGAAACATAAATAATCAGTAAGATTTGGATGAACTATTTTTGGATGAAATATAAAAAAAGATAAAGATATGCTTAAAGTATGTTTTAATCTAAAAAAATAATGAAATAATTACAACTGACCCTGAGCTATCAAGCTTAGTGTCCGGGTGCGCGCTTTCATTATTTTATACTCGAGCAACCCGAGTCCAAGTCTTGGTGAAGCACTAATGAAATTGTTATTTTTAAGTGCTGAACTATCAGATGCTAATTGTGAAATATGATAAGGAATCTTGCACACTTTCGAAACCATAACAAAAAAAAATTCAAACATATGTGAAGTCTGTAAAACCGCAGTGGAGTTGCGTGATGAACTATGCATTAATATCCTGTGTATAGAGAAGGCCTTTGACCAGCAGTGAGATTTGTATCGGATGTTTTTTTTTTATGTGAAAAGTTGCCAAACGAGCAAACGGTTCACCTGATGTTAAGTGAATACCGCCGCCCACGGACATCTGTTACATCCGAGAGTTCCAGATGCGTTGACAACCTTTTGAAAATTGGGCTCCGGCCACCTCACTCACCAGACGAAACGCGAAAGTAATATACTTCTACTTTACGTCGGTCTTCTGTGAGGTCGTGGTACTTAACCGGACGAGCCTGCCCATTCGTGCAACAGCCGAGACTGCAGCCGAGACTGCACCGTAAAAATGTTACTTAATTTTATGGTCAAAATGCTTTTTGAAATTATTCTAAATTGTTCTTTTGTCCTTTACAGTGTTCTATAAATCAGTTATACTGTTTGATAAAAAGGTTACAGTTATTAATAAGATATGGATAAATTCCAACTAATAGTAAAAAAAAAAAATTTTTGAAAAGAAAATAGGATTTTTGTCGGCTTAAAAAATATAAGTTTTCAAAAGCTTTGAGCAATCTATAGGATTTTATGTGATATCAGCCTTTCAATCCGTTCTAATGACATTATTTGTAACGGTGATACGGTATTGATTCAACAAATACGGACAGAATAATTTTCGTCCGTTCAAATAAAACAAAAAGGCTCCCGAGAGACCGTTTACTTGGATATTGCTATCCACTAGCAAATTTACCCAAGGCTGAATAATGTTTAGGATTTTGCAATCTGGTTTGCGCCCGAACAAGTCACCAAAGTAACATTATTAACGAACATGATATTCGATACGTAGTTACTTTACTACATACGTATATAATCATTTCTAATTGGTGTACTATCCTAAACATATTATTTTTAATATCCGAAAACTCTTTCACTGTATTTCCACGGGAGAAATAATTAAGTAACAACGTATACCTAAAATTGTAACTAGTAATTAAAGAAAAAGAAATTCGTGGTTTTATTATTAATTATAAATTTATAGCATAAATTATTCCGATGTATAAATATTCAATCATAAAGTGCTCAACCCCGTAAAATTATATTCATTCGGTTTTCCTCTTTAATCTCTCTCCACTGTAATTTACTTTTATCCATTACCTTTTAATTAAATTGATTTCAGATGTTCCTCGGTTCGAAAATAGCCTAAGCAATATAACCGTTTCACTAGGAAGAGAGGCCATATTTACCTGCGTTGTCAATGACCTTGGTTCTTACAGGGTTTGTATACCTTTAATAATTAAATCTATAAAAAATCATAGTTTGTCCTGTTGTAAGAACTGGGAGAGATCACGGAAACTAGTTTTGGAAGTCAATTCATATATTTTTTCTAAAAGTAATAAGAATTTTTGATAATAAATATTCCCACATGTTTTAATTACTCTTTATAAAGACATACATCTACCACCTTAATTCTAAGCAGTTATACTGTGGTATAAACAGGCCGTAGTTTCCGAGTTTCATGAATTGTATGGATTGGTCAGCTCAACTGGAAATCTATCATGGATATTTTACATTGCGATTAATGGAGACGTAAAATGTCCGCAATAGTAAAGCTGACATCGCATCGACAATCTTTTTGGTGTCTATGGACGATTCATAGCTCACATAACATTTTCTTTAACTGGGACAGCCTAGTACTTCAGCTGATAGTGATTGTCGATGCAGCCGCTTTCTTGTTTTCCATCTTTTGATGTATTATGAATAATTATATTTTGTCTTTTTTATTTCAAAGGTCGCGTGGCTACGTGTGGACACTCAGACGATATTGACCATAGCGACTCATGTCATCACCAAGAACCACAGAATTGCTGTGAACCACAGCGATCGTCGTGTCTGGTTCCTACATATACACGAGGTGCGACAATCAGATCGCGGCTGGTACATGTGCCAGCTCAATACAGACCCGATGAAGAGTCAAACCGCCTATTTGGATGTTGTTGGTATGAAGTTCCATTTAACTTCCCGAAACGATTCATAAAAACGCCACGAAAATAGCATTGTGAAAAATAAATCTGTTCACTAAAGCTGAAACTATCGGATCCAGTAGGTTCGAATTATGGCTGCTGCAAAAATTTTGCGACAGTTTCATGAACACATTTTAAATAATATAAGTAACAAAGTTTTAGCATTTTACGTAGAGTTTACGCTTGATGTTGTTAAGTTTACCACTGTCAAATTATCTATGTGTTAGCTATCGGCGCAATAGATACTAGAACAACACCGTGCGCTTTACAAGAAACTTTTTCCCTGTAAGACTACTAAGTGAAATCGATGGCCTTTCGCCAATTCCGTAATGATACGAATTAGATTTCTTTAAGAAGACAGATTTCAACCAAACGCGAATGTTCTACTTACTAGCTTAAAAAATTGTAGAATTTATACTGCTCCTACAAATCAGCAAATCAACGGTTTTTTATCCTATTTTGAACTGTACTGTTGTGAACAAACTCTCTACTTGTCAATTAGAGGATTTTTTTTCCATGTATGTACTTTATATTTATCTTCGATATTTATACTTTGAAAAGACACTTAACCCCAAATGACCTGGAACATATAAAATATTAATTATTAGTAATTCTTTTAATGGCAGTGCCCCCGGATATTTTGGATTATCCAACAAGCAGCGACCAGGTAGCGAGGGAAGGTGCAAATATTACGTTAAGATGCGCCGCGCACGGTGTACCCACACCTACCGTGGTTTGGAGAAGAGAGTCTGGTGATTTACTGCCAACAACAAATTTTAGTGACATGCAGAGTACGTATTTATGTTCTTAATAAGGAAACGATATATATTGGTAAGAATATGCTTTCATTTATTCTAACTAAAAACAGGTTAGTATATTTATTTATACCATGTTTACTTTTGAAGAAAAAAGAAAAGAAAAAAAAATACTCCTCGTGTGTGCATGAAGCATATTAAATACCTTATACTAACAAATTTGCAATTTTTGCTTCTCAATTCATTAAAAAATCATGTTCGTGTAATACTTTCTGTTATGAGATATCATTCTCTGCAATATTATATAACATAATAATTACTCTATATCTAATAATGTAGCTTAACTTGTTTAAAGTGAAACAAATGTGGGGGATTTTAGTTACCGTCCAGTTTTATTATTATCTAACTGTTAACAAGAGTGACACAATATCGTTTTACTGTCATGTCATAAACATTTACGGGATCAGAGGCCGTAACTATGCGGTTGCCAATTTAACGGATCGTTGCGGTGTTAAAGCTTTCTACTGGACTGAATTATATTTATTTTAGTTCTGAAACATAAATTACCAATTCGTGAAATAAAATATGTCAATAGTATTAAAAAAAAACCCTCGAATGCGGGACAGAATTTTTATAAAATGTGAAATATGAAATATGCATTTTGGCACCGGAAATCCACCATATTGTTTATAATTTACATATACTCGAAAGATTTTGATGAATGAAATACCTAACAACATATAATTCATCAAAATTGATTTACCAGTTTAGCAGTTACAAGGAAACATAAGAACGGACTGAAATAAATACGATCAAATACTAAACCTCCTTTTTTAGCTTCGCCGCAGTCGGTATGTAATTAAAAAAATATCCCGTTTTAGATACTTTTCAAGATTAATAAGATGAAATATTATAGCATTATGAAGGTATTATAGCATTTAAGCAAAATATAATAATTTATTTCCCACTAATGTTTTAATTTTCGGTTAACCGATTTGTATTGAAAAGAAAAAATAATATTACCATTTTTTAGATCATTCGATAAGTGGTTCCATGCTACAATTAGTAAAAATATCACGACTGCACATGGGCGCTTACCTTTGTATCGCCAGCAACGGAGTACCGCCGTCTGTGAGCAAGCGAGTCATGTTGATTGTGCATTGTGAGTAAAGCTTTTCCATAATTTTCCTTTAATGTCTGCGCAACATAAGCTTTCGAAGTTAGGCCTAGTTCTATAATTTAGGTTATCTCACTTTTACTCGATGTCATAAGAAAGATAGTTTTACCGGTATTAGGGCTTCATAGCAACTTCCTGTGCCGGCTTCACCGGCGTTTTGATTCACAGAATACCGACAATAGTATAATATTCGTACTCTTACGTCTTGTACAGTTAGTCTTTGGTAACCTTCCCCCGGCTACCGAAGTCCCAAAGTCTAACTTCCTTTATAATTTGACTATCGGTGATTAATGCCTACGAAAACCCGCCCTCGCGGGGTCCGACTCACACTGACTAAAATCCTCACGATGTTCCACGCCGGGCTCATAGTAAGGATCTCCCAAATCCCGCTGCTCAGAGACCGTAGGAGATGGAAAAGCCACTAACAAGCAGTAAGAAGCCCTCAGTGTCAAAGCTGGTCTCTGATTCCTCCTATTTTTCTTTTTTTGCGACTCCACCTCGATTGCAGAGGACGGGGAAAGGAGTACACCACTACCACCCTCAATCTGTCCTGTGCACCCGCCTTGCGCGCATCAGAATTGGACTCTGAGCCCACTTGGAGCAACCCTTTCGGGCCGGCCTCATATTATGGGCAGGCCCAGTATAGTTCCTCTTAGCTTCGGCTATCAATCCACGGCTACATAGCCCCTTCGATACGACATGGCTGTAATCCAGTCGGAGGCCATGGTACTCAAACGAATGATGAAGAATCCTGAACTTTTATCCAGATAAACATAACATAATAGATGTAATATAATAGACCTGGTCTATTATATTACTTCCTTACTTCCTTACTAATATTATAAATCAATTACATTGACTAAAACTTTATAAATTAGACATGTTAACCATTCTTTTTATTTTCTTTTATCTTTCTTTATTTATTATTAATATTACAGTTCCGCCAATAATGACGATACAAAATCAATTGATTGGAACTATGGAAGGCGACTCGGTGACTTTAGAGTGCCATTCAGAAGCATTCCCCAGGTCAATCAACTATTGGACAATTAACGGTCACATTATATCTCAAAGTAAGTATTACAAAATTACAAAAATGTTCATCTGACTTTGCAGTAAAAATCAATTGATTGTTGCCGCAGCGTAATCGGAATTTAGTTGCTTCCTTCTTGCGAGCGGAAAAAAAAGTAGTTACTATTTTTTATCAAACTTTGTTATTAATGCTATATTTATAAACAAGTTATCAACTAAATAAGTAAAAGAGTTTAGGTAATGAACGAGAATTTCTATTTTCATCACAACATTGTCTTTTTAATAGGATGTCTTTCATGTTTTAATACGACACTCGTAACGTGTAATGTTTCCAATTATTTGAAACGTTCAGAATATCAAATTTAATCAAACGCGTTAAAACGTTTCTACATAATGTTATCTTTAATCAACATAAATAACTTGATTACGCAACTTAACGTTTTACTTTCAGGCGATAAAAGATATGAGATAGTGACAGTTGATCGAGGTTATGAAGTCAATATGAAATTGAAAATAAAAAAAGTGAAGAGGGACAACTTCGCGACATATACTTGCATATCAAAAAATTCACTTGGCGACACTGATGGCACAATAAAATTATATCGTAAGTCCTTTTATTGTTATTGATCAAACGTCTAGATATATTGTTAATAAAACTTGAATAATAATTACAAAATATGTGCTTCAGTATATCGCATTACTTTGTTTTGAACACAAATTAAAGAAAATATTTTATTGCAGCAATTTCCGGTAAATACGAAGAATTGCCATACAATGAGTTGAATGTACTCGATGAAAGTCCTGACGTCAGTGAACTTGAAGCCCTAAAGCGAAGTATTTCTTCTAAGTGCTTAATATTAAAAATTGTCTTTTTACCGCCTGCATTTGTGATACTTGCCGGAATATAATGATACATTGTATATACAGAAATATATTGTTGCAATTACCTTTCTTGTATTTTTCTTTCTTTAAATCATATTAAAAACTTAATTGACTTGGTATTTCATTAGGTTATGGTATTACAATTTAATATTTTGTTTTGAAAGTGTTACTTGCGGTTGTAAACAAAACAAATGATCTACTGTGATAGGCAGCTTTTAATTTATTTTTTTAAAGTTTTAAATTATAGCAAAAATATACGGTAAAGCTGCAGGGCTAGTGAAATTCACAAACTATAATCATAACTAAGTTATTATACGTCATACAGCCACAAATCCTAAAGTTATGATACGCTGCTAGGAAAGATAATTTTATAATGAAAAAGTTAAGCATTTAGAGCTCTACGTTGCATTCGAAACTAAAAACTTTCTCCAACTGAATTTATTTTACAATGTCTTATACCACATGTAAAAATATCTAAAGTCCTTATTAAAATAAATAAAAATATATATCCCAAGAACGACACAATTACTTGTATTGAATGAGAATATTAGAATTGCGATAGAGTACACCCATGTTCAGGAAAAGCTATAACGGTAATGGATATCTGTGTGTTTGTAGAGACCGCAAACTGTGTTCAGTTGACCTGTATCAAAGCTCTTTGCTTTCTCTTTGCGTCTGATGGAATTAAATTTGTGGATAAATTTAGAGTTATATGACGTGTATAAAAGACATGCTTTAAAACAATTTATAAGTGGAACTTCGAAGGAACCAGATTTTAAAAATTTTTAAGCAAGATAATATCGTATTTTCTTCCTTTTATTTAATTATCAAGAGAGAGAGAGAGATTAATAAAATAAATATAACGAATAATAGCGTAGCTATTATATTTATATCAAAAGGGTATGGTGAAACAAGTCACGATACGCAAAATGATAAAGTTATTTTAATGAAAATTATACCACGGGAACCAAATACATATTACGTTAGATTTTGGAATGATGAATGTCCATTTTTTCCACGTGTTTTTTTTATGTGAAAAGTTGCCAAACGAAAACCTGATGTTAAGCGAAAGCAGAACATTGTGCTTTTAATTGTAAGCAACGAGTGTATGTGAAAACGAATTGTATGTGAAAAGTTGCCAAGCGAGCAGACGGTTCACCTGATGTTAAGTGGATCCCGCCGCCCATAGACATCTGCTACACCCGAGGGTTTGCAGATGCGTTGACAACCATTTTGGATATTGGGCTCCGGCTACCTCACTCACCAGACGAAACGCGAAAGTATTTGTCAAATTTCCACTTTACACAGGTCTTCTGTGAGGTCGTAGTACTTATCCGGACGAGCCTGCCCAATCGTGCAACTGCCGAGGCTGCTGTGTGGCTCTACCACCGTTGAAAAGTTAAACGGTAGTCTTTAAGAGGTGATTTAATTGATTTGTAACATTCCATTATATTGCAGACGTGTTACCAACTTTTATAACAGTCAATTCCAGTTACCAGATTCGCGAAAACATCGCGAGCATAGTGACCAAATGTATAAATCACAACTTTCAAATAAATAGCGTTAATATCTTGGCGCTTGCAAATTTAGTAAAAAAATTACATACTCAAAAATTTGGTGGTAGTATTTTGAATATCAATAATGCTCCTATATTGAATAAAGATATTTGAATTTTAATTTGAATTATATAATTATCTCAATATTAATGGATAATAGTAATTACATGTTTTGTAATTGAGCCTTCACACTTTTTATATACGTATTAAGTTATTCCCAGTCACGTAAGGGACGTAAACAACTCCCGTGTATTTTACTTACCATAAGTTAAGACTTCGTAGCCCTCGTAACAGTTTCATTCGTTTTTTTTACGATCGGGGTCATTAAACTAGTCATCCGCTCCATAATCTAAAAATATTTTAGACTTTAATCAGACTCAAACTCTGTAACTAATCTATCCTTTACCTTTGCCGTCTCTAGTGTATTTTGAACATTATACCAAATCTTCTCTTCATATGAATGTGCGTTTAATAAATTAAAAAAACGGTTTTTAGTGCTTTTTGTAATGTTTATAGTGCTATTCCCTGCATGCTTCATTAGAAGCATTCAATTTGTAGAAGAAATGGACGAAAAGTTTATCGCTGCTGCGGGAATCGAACCTACATCATCCGGATTAATGCCCAGACGATTTAAACGGCTGATTGCCACACCGATTCTCAACGTCTTTTGTCTCTTCATTGTTTTTTGTATTTTACAAAACACAACGGTGTTTTGATTTCAGTCCGTAGATTATTAAAGCTCATCGAATTCTGAGTATATGCTCATATACTCAGATCCCTTGACAGTCATCCTGGGCGTTGGGTAAAGCCGCGCATGTGTTATATAATTTTTGCCGTATCTAGTAGGAAGGAATATCACAGAGGATCATCGAGGTTCAGTACGGATCTGAGTGGCCAATAAAAATCGGTACGGATCGCTAATTGATTATGTGTATTACTTATATTCGTGGGTATAATGTTGTTTAGCAGGACCCCCGGTGGGAGCGATATACGACCCTTCCTCGCCCGGATGGATAAGACCGTTGCGCGGGCGATGTTTGACAACGGTCGCTTACGGCCAAAGGGTAGAATATATCAAGTACTAGCTGACTCGGCAAACATTGTTTTGCCATATAAATTATTTCTAGAGAAATCAGAACCCACGCATAAAGTGTTTGACAGGTTACACAGACATAGTTGACAGGTTGACAGGTACAGTTTGTATGGGAAAATAAAATAGTCACTATTTTGATTTCCCATGCAATTTTTCCCTAATTTCTCATCGTTTAAACCTTCCCTGGACTGCCACAAATATTTCAAAATTAGCAAAATCTACCAGCCGTTCTCGAGCTTTAGCGAGACTAACGAACAGCAATTTATTTTTATATATAAGATTATTTATTTTTACTAATCATACATTGAGGGGAAAAACGAAATGATTAATTAATTTAAATACATTTTTTATGAATTTAATAAACACTTCTCATATAAAGACAAAAAAAATAATTAGAAAATCTGGCGAAATAGAAAAATGACATCAAGAAAATTACAGTTATCGTATGTTTGGCAAACTGTTTATGACCACACCTCATTATAAGTAATTTTCTAGGTATCCTAAAACTTTAAAAAATCATGTTAGTATGGTTTAAGACATTTATTTGCTCGAAAGATTTACACCAAATCACTTACAGAGAAAATACAAATACTATAGTATGCACAACAAAAAAATTCCGAACTGGCGAAGCTAGTGGACTAATTATAAAAAGAGTATTGAAATATAAAGTAGTTACAAAAAAAACATAAGAATTTATACAAAGTGTGTGGTACATTCTAACTAAGCTGTAATTATCTATATTCGAAATACAAAAGGTGTTTACTTAGGTCTATAACATAGTGGCTTTGAGATTGTTAACTATTTATTATAGATATGAAATATATTAAATATACACATGATCGTAATATGTATACAAATATATGCAAACATATTATGTGTATTTATGTACCCATAAACATATGTGTTTATGTCCTTATCAATGAAAAATCCTTTAAAATATAAGTTTTCAAGATTTTTTTTAAACTTACTAGGGATTTTGTGTCTTTTATATCACTGGGTCATTTATTATAGTATTTAGCGCCCTCGTATAAGATTCTTTTTTTTCCGTAATTTCTTCAAGACGCTCTTAAGTACAAGTTATTTGCTTGTCGTGTCATGCGTTCAGTGAAGTCCATGTTCTTTTTATAAAGTTAATCTGTGAGTGGATATCTTTAGTAATGATTTTCCGAATAAAAATACACGCGTTGTATTTATACATTTGAGCCAGATTCATTATTTTAGTTTCTTTATATATTTTGTTCAGTAAAAATTTTATCCCCTGTGCCGGTGCTCTTTGTTTGAGAAGAAACCATTAAATGCATTTGATAGCGGTTTAATTAAATAAGTTGAAATTTTAGGTAAATGTCAAAAAATTGTTAATGTTGGCCATAGTTATACTGTGATGTTGGTCGAAGTTCGTCATGTCGCTTTTTGGCTGTCGGTGTGTTTTTTCCATACGCACCAAAAGAAGTATAACTTCAAAAATAAAAAATTAAGTGGGAATATTTTTTCTACCTCCTTACAATATAGATAAAGAAATTAGTACACTATTTTCAAGAAATACGTAACGTTGTAATAAATAACAAATAATGTCAATAGCTGAACTTTATAAAGTTGTGTCATTGTCTAAAAGGTTACAGTTAATGAACCATGCTAGCTTACGACTATTACTGATCCACTGGAATTATATTATTTTATTTTACCTTAAAGTATTAAAAGTAACTTTGTAGCTTTCTTCGTCGAGTGTCAATTGGGACGAAAAAATACATCGATTTTCTAAAGTTATTTTGTATTATTAAAAAATAATAAACAAAAACGTCGGACGTTCACGTTTTTAACTACATATCACATATCACGTATATCAAGATATGAAGTTGTTAATCTTCTAGGTTAAAATAAAAAAGTTAACGTGTCAGCGCAAATACATCTAACTGTGGTAGGGCCACGCAACAGCCTTTGATGTAAGAATAAGCAGGTTTATCCGGGTAAGTACGTACGTCGGTACTTACAGAAGACCTGCGTGAAATGAATGTGTTATACCTCTACGGTCAGTGAGACAGCCGGGGACTAATTTATTAAAAGGTCGAATCAACAACCAACGCATCTGCAACCGCACATCTATTGCAAACATCCAAAGACTGTGGTTATCACTTAACATCAGGTGAATCATATTTAGTTTTCCCTTATTTATTGATTTCATATAAATGAGCCTTACTTTTGGAGTTGATAATAATCAGGCCATATAAATGTTTAGCCTTTAGCAGTTTTCTAAATACAGTTAAAGTTTACCATCACCTAATATTTGTTTCCTGCCTCGTTTGTTAGTAAATAATCTATAAATAGAATTAAGAAATTGTTGAACAAAATATTATCGTTGTCTTCTTATAAATATCTGGCTCAAGGATTATTGAACATAAAAATAAAAAAGAAAGCATTTACTTTAGTAGTAGTAGTCTTAATCACGTAAAACACTTTTATGTAATCGCAACACATGCTACGACAGTACTCTTAAACTCTTCGCTCCTTTCGCGAGGTAAACTATTTCTCGACCTTTTTCCTTTATAAAGGAGCAAAGTTGTTTAAGGGTAGGTTTTCCTAAATTGCACTACTTTCGTTTAATTTTGACGGGAATTATTGCTGTGTAAATAGTAAGTGAATTTCAGTATTTTTTTTTATTAACTCAAGCATTATGGGCGGCTAAATTAGCTCATGAATTGCGTTAATAAGACTTTTTATAATCGATTTCAAAGTATTTTACGAGGCGCTACTTTACTCATTCATTCATTTACATGTAGTCATTATAATAGGCTTTCTGTAGCGATCTAATCGTCTTGTTGTTCTAAATGTTTAATAATGACTAGGTAATATTTTGGACATTTCACACAATATCTTTATAAATTAGAGCGTGTGTGTTATTCTGATGTATAATTATTGTAAAGTTTGCTTAAAATCTATTCAGTAATTTTTGCGTGATAGAGTAACAAACATCCATTCATACATACAAACTTTCGCGTTCATTATATTAGTAAGGAAGTAAGGATCAATTAAAATTTGGTATGTTGTTAATGGAACATCTTCATGGGTATAATTAACGAAAACGATTGCTATAATCTAACCGTTATCAACAGAGTTTCCAGGCTATAAATTATGATGTCTAAAAGAGCCAGGAATGAACGCTCTTAAAAGAAATTAAGGCTTTAAGCAAGGTTATTAGAAGCGCAGAGACGATAAACCCTTCTTTAAGCTGTGTTCTTGTTAAATTAAATAAATTTAGTCAATGTCTTTAGACTTATTTTCTCCATTGAAAAAAATAAATGGACAATTACACCTCACCATTTGGACTTTTAGAGCCTGTTATTCAGGATTATGCGTATTAAATATATTTTGTGCATGAACAAAATGAAACCGATAATATGTATCATATGTAATACTTTAAATAATAATAGATCCAAAATTATAATACTGTCAGGCATGTTGATCAAACCGAGTCGCAGCAAGTTTGTGCGTACAAAGGCCGTGTTTTGACTGGATAAAAACGCTGAGCCCTGATAGCTCATTGTCCAGGCGCTGACTTTTAATTCAATATATTCGAGCAACCTGAGTTCTATACTCAGTGCCGGCACCAAAGAATTTGTTATTTAATTGCTGACTTATGATGTGCTCAGCGGTGAAGGAAAACATCGTGAGGAAACCTACAAATACGATTTCGACATAATAACAAAAAAATGTATATCTCGAAGATAATATATAAAGTCTGCCAATCCGTAGTGGGGTCGCGTGGTGGACTATGCTCGAACTCCCTGTGCCTTTGCCCAGCAGTGGAACATGTTAGTGGGCTTTGTATTAGATTTTTGTACTAGATTTTGATTTCCAAGCCGAGCAATTAATACACTCCAGTACTGGACTACGTCATCTCCCATGGATTGTAAAAATTAAGAAATTATTGTTGCATCCTTCAGGTTGAAACGGAATAGGTGCGGTTTAAGAAAATGCCACATACTCTGGGGATTCTAAGTTTAATATCGCAGGGAGGTGATTTTTTTCTTATTCATTCATAATTTTTAGATAGAACTCTAAAATAAATAGATTTTCATCCATTCAATATTATATTTCGATCTGTGCCAAGAGTAGACCATTGCAGCGCTTAAAATTCGTCTTAAATTAATTACTTTATAATTAATTATTTTTATTAATAAAGTAGCGAACTCTAAACGCTTAAAGATGCACGCAGATAGCTCAGGATCGTGCTTCATGCCAGTCTGTTGGGGAGGCCTATGTTCAGCAGTGGCTTCTAACAGGCTGAAATGATAATGATGAAGATGATTAATAAATTAAGTAACTAATTTATAATCAATTCATAAATTCAATAATTGGTTATTTTATAAGACTATTAAAATGAGAAAAAAGAGTTACATAATATTTAGTTAAAAAATAATTATCAATATGATATTAAGCTTTTATTACCTTTGAGCCTGTTTATTTTAATCTCTGTTTATATAACCCAATTGTTTGCTGCAATCCTGCTAAACAAATGTATGTGTATTCGCGTACTAACAACGTTATCAAAATAGCTGCAACACAATAAAAGCGCGAAACTATACATGATTGCTGCCCGACCACAAATTAACGTTAACTAGATTTTGTACACCCTCACTCGAAATTCGATACGCCAACGGATTATCGTACGATCTTTACAGCAATTCCCCTATTTGAAACGAACGTTTCCTAAATGAGTCTATTTACGCCTTTTGTTTTCATCAAGAATTTGGCTAGGTGCAATTTTATTTTTGAGTAAAGACTAAAATGCAAAAAAATTCGCTGCCCCACTTTTAGAACTATTACTTTACACTACATAGTGACACAATAGCCTATTTGTTTTATTTTTTAGTTATTTTTTTAGGTTGTAGTGTTGAGAAAAAAAAATACAGATAAATAAGAAGAATACAAAAGAGATTTACCAGTGCTGTGAATTTAATATTTTATGTATATTTAGTGGGTAATGGCCATGCC